TCTTCTCACTGTTGAGGTCTGGGAAGCGCTTCCGCTCCCTTAAGGCCAAAACAGAGAGAATGAGGAGGAGCTTCTTCCCCCAGGCTATTCGGGCCTGAACCAGTGTAGGACTGGACTCTCACACACATCACATCACCACACACACCACCACACATTTCCTATAATCCTATAATTCCTATAATTTATAATCTTGATAATCTCTTTCTGCTATTTGCACATTTTTTTTTACTGTAAATTTCTAAGTTAATTTGTAAATTTTGTAGTAACCTGTAAATTGTAAATACTGTAAAACTTTTTTCTGTCATTTAATGGTCGGGCATTGTACAGCTACAAGCATTTCACCCCCGTGTCATACTGTGTATGGTTGTGTGTGTGTGACAAATAAAATTTGAATTTGAATTTGAACTCGATGAGACGTGACACATGAAACGCAGAAGAAAGAAGAAATCACAAAATACAAAAGAACTGCAAGAGACTAAACCGTGGAAACATTCATCAAAGAATATTAATCATCAAAAACATAAACACTGGGTCGACAGACCAGGACCAGGACAACCCTTACATGTTCTTTACATGCCTCCAGCATTTTTGGTTCAATTTTGACCAAGTGCACCCTCATACATACACACTTCTATTAAGAATGTATAAATGGATGATTAATCCTTAATTAATGTTTCAGAGACCTGGAAGAGTGTATTGTTTAGCTTTAACAACACTGATTTTTGGATACAAACATCTATTATCAGACAATAATATGTTCTCAATTTATATTGTTTTCAAAGTGTAAGTTGCATAAACATTCTAGAACCATGTATAACAGTTACAATCATTAAACACTGTGCTCTCTTATGTCCACAGGCTCAGAGACATGGTGACCAACTGGCTGCAGCCGGAGAGACAAATGTGACTGTGAATGTGTGAGTGCAGTTTGTGGACGGGCTTCTTTGCTTCTCCTGGACCATCATCATCATCATGGGCCACCACAACCTAGCACATGCAGTAACACCATCGTCAGGTCCCAGAGCAGCTATGGACACTGGTTTCCACTCATAGGCAGGAGTGTTGGAAGTGCTGGAACCTCCTAAAAAATGGAAGGATGAAGAATCCACAGTTTGGTGGACAGAAATGAGCCGGGGCCTGAGGCACCAAATTCATCATTCCTGCCTCACCCTGTTGGGAAAAACCTTCCCACACCAGCCTCCACAGTAGATTTTTCAACAGCATTTGCAGATGACCCCCTGCCCAGTCACACCACACTCACCCAGGTGTGACGGTGCATTCACAGCCCTACAGATTCATGGACATGAAAGATAAATACTTCACAAGGACTTAGCTGCCATGCTGGAGATGGGAATGATGGACGAGTCACACAGGGCATAGTGAAGATGGGTCTATATGCTTGTGTGTGCACTACTGCGAGGTGAATGAGGTATCACACTTTCCCATGCCCGGGTCAACGACCTCCTGCATCTGTGGAGCGCTGCTCAGCGTTTACACCGGTCTGCGCAGAGTGCATTCAAACAAGCTGTGATTAGTGTTTGCTGATTAAAAATAAAAAGACTAATCAGAGCTGTGAAAGCGTCCATCTTCCTTTGATGATGCAGATTAAATATAACATGCTGGGTGAATGAATTAAGGAAGCACAATGCATGCAGGAGTCATCCATGTTTGACAGCGAGCCACCTCCACACACTGAGCTCATCCCTACGTTCCTCCCGACTCCCATTTTCTCGTCTGTTTTCCCAGCCGCTGCCAGCTTCCCTCAGCTTGTGAATATGACAAATATAGGTCAGTGACTCACGTTGCTAACACTGCAGACGAAGCTGCTCCAGGAGAAATACTGTACCCTTCGTTCTTCAAAGCCGATTTTAGCGGAATAATTTATGTCACATGGTCTCATTTCGAGAGTGCAGTATGATTTGCACAGG